TACCCTCAGATTTATCAACCCGGTTTCCCCTTGTCAGTGAAGCAGGTGGATGGGTTGACATGGAAAAAGCGTCCAGTCGTTCAGATAGGCCCTGTGTGCTACAGACTGTGCATGTTGGAAATCAAAAAAGAGAAGGCTAATGCCGCTGTCCTGGTAATATGTCCCTTATTGCCCACTGCATGGCATTTTCTTCATTAGCCCAATAAGGTGCAGAAGAGTGGGACATAAAACTCCATTGATCTTTTTTGTTTTCTTTGTTTTCTTTTTTCCATTATTTTAAAATAGCATGTTTCAAGAGTAGATTTTTGTTACAGTAGATCTACTGCAGAAAGGAAAGAAAAATCTCGACCAATCACTGTGGATGATTTAGAAGCCCGTCCTGGATCACCGAGTCTAGTGGTAGTCGCTGGATCTGAGTCACCCAGTGAACCCAGCCCAGAGAAAGATGAAACAGATAATAAATCTAAGCTCACCCCAGCCTTTCTACCTCCTATTTCACTAGATGATGCTTGGAAAACCAGCAGTAATCATGGTAAGATGATAAGATGATAAGGTTTGAGGAACATGGTTAGGACATCTAGTTGTTCTGGGGTCCTGTGTGTTATAGGCTGTGTAGTTGAATATCCCTGGACAGTTGGAACTATTAAATGAATAGGGTAATGCCGCTGGAAAAATGTCCTCCATTTTATGATGTAGCTTTTCTTCATAAACTTAATCAGGTCAAGAAAGGTAGGATGTAAAACTCTACTTCATTTCATTTCCAGATGATAATGATTTAGCACGAGAGAAAGAAGAACTGGAGAGAGAAAGATGGGAGGATGAACGAAGAGAGAGAGATGAGGAAAGGAAGAAATTAGAGCAAGAAGAATGGGAAAGAGAACAGAGAGAATTAAAACAACCGGAAGGAGAGGTAGGATGTTTTAAAGAGGAACTTAATTGGAAAAGATCAAAACCTACTGAAGGTGCCTTCATAGTATTTACAATTTTCTTATGGTTGCAAACAATGAAGTCATGAATACCAAACAGAGTTGTGAATTGCGTTTGAAACTTATAACTGTTTCTTTTTTCGCTACCATTAAAATATATACAGAAATAGACAGTGAAATTTCTAGCTTGAGTTATATTTGAAGGGATTATGCGATTTTCTTGCATTTATCTACTTCTTAAGACTAATAAAGCACAATAAAGACCCAAATCAATCCCCGAAAATGTCAATTGTTTCCCTTTAAATGATCCCTTAACAGTTTGAATTTAAACGAAAATTGGAATAAAGATTAAATTTCCCTGAATACATACTACATGACATTGTTCCTCTTCATTTACCTAATCAGTTCCAGAAAAATAGAACATAACACATGATGTATGTAACATTTTAGACAAAAGTAGCCTCTGAAAAAGAAGAAGTTAAAGAGACAACAGAAGAGATTGACCCTGTTATGAAACAATATATGGAAATGGTTCAACAGAATAGACAGAAAGAACAAGAGGTAGGGTATATGTTATAGATGTTAGCAATTGATTTAGATCTGTTACTGATATCAATATTGGTGAGAACTTGAGAATTGTGTTAAAAGATTTAGAGAACAGGCTTTTGTGCATATAACCTGTTTCTCTACAGCTCCTATCATACATGACTGGTACATTTACTCAAATCAACAGCCCTGGTAACATTAGGACCTTTGTGAAGCTGGAGAAAGAAGGGTTTCACATGCGAAAACCTTTCAACTGATTTTGGGATAACCTCTTGGTCGCCCAGGTTATCAGTACCTATTTGTCCAATGAGTTGAAAAGCCAAAAGTGATGTATGTAGTAAATAATTTACTATGTTATAATGAACAGGTTGCCAAAAAAACAGTAGATAAATGGAGTAAAGATTCAGGTGATAAAACACCTCAAGTTAGTGAGGAAGAAATTTCTATAGCTGAAGATTTAAAAAGGTAAGTTCAAAAAAATCTTTATCATCTGAAAAGGATCTAACATCTTAAAACAATGTGTACACTTAGTTTTTTAATAACAATTTTGTCAGATATATCTTTGTTTTTTGATGATATATGTATTGTTATATTTATTCTTAATACAGCGTTGCAGGGTTTAATCTTTAGTTTTAAAGTGTCTATGTCTGTCTGTCTGTCTCAATGCATAATAACATTAGTTAAAAGATAGTCACGATACTATCAATAAGTGTCAGCTTTATCTCAAAATGCTCTAAATCTATGGACTTTATTAAAGTCGCAATGTCACAATCATGTAACAAACAACTATTTAAACATAGAAGTAAAGAAGCTTGCTTACTGAGATATTATCAGCTTTATGGAAACTGCACAGAGGTGTCAAATGGACTTATAGCTGTGTCACATTGTGTCAGTGATTTAATTGTATTTCTTTCATTTCAGTGTAAATGGATCCGATGATGGTTTTTGTTGGTGAAACTTCTGAGAGATCTAAATTCTTCATAAATATCTTACATATCTTCTTTAAATGGATGATATACTTGAAACTCTACTACAATTTCTATTGTCAAATGATTATTGACTATGAAATTTGACCATTCAGTTGTTTAAGAGATCTAAGATCTTCTGAGCAGAAGAAGGTTAAGCTCTTAGTGTTTGTTTTTCTTCCATTCCGTCCAATTTTATATTTTATGTCATATCCTTTCATGCATAACAAGATTTGAGTTTTTATTTCCCAAGTGTATCCATAATCTTTCAATGTATGTTTAGGTTTTTATTTAAAAAAAGTTTATTATTATCTTAGTTGAATAAGTAAGTAAGGTTCTATTTTGATTGTTTCAAGGCTGGCCCTTAGTACTAAAAATCTCATTTGTTAAGGTGTGAATAAGGTCCTATACTACTTTGTACTACTGTATGCAACAAAAACGCATCCTTCTTAATTATAAGAATTTTTATTGAGCTGAGCCCTTGCTTAAGAATTGCCGCATAAAAAATTGGATGTCCATTTATAGTTGGATATGAATTGTAGTATACAATCAACTATATTTTGACTAAATATAGATTTCAGATGATGGACTTTGTAAACTGATTGTGATATATTCCTGTATAATATATTTTATTGTAAAAATTATGTAAAATATTTTATTTGATATTTATTAAAACAAAATAAACTGGTACAAGTACTGAGAAATGGTTCTTCTCATTCTAAAAATTTAGATTTTTTGGGTGGAACATTTCTTGCTTGTAAGGCAGTTGGTTTTTTGGAATTAACATGAACTTACCATGCCTTAATGACTTCAGTGAAACCCGAACTTCCCACACTTCAATACTTTCAGAGAAACCTGAACCTCCCACACCTCAATACTTTCAGAGAAACCTGAACCGCTCATACCTCAATACTCTCAGAGAAACCCGAACCTCCCACACCTTAATACGAGAAACCCGAACCTCCCATACCTCAATACGAGAAACCTGAACCTCCCATACCTCAATGCTTTCAGATAAACCTGAACCTCCCATACCTTCATACTTTCAGGGAAACTTGAACCTCCCATACCTCAATGCTTTCAGGGAAACCTGAACTTTTCATACCTCAATGCTTTCAGATAAACCTGAACCTCCCATACCTCCATACTTTCAGAGAAACCTGAACCTCCCATACCTCAATGCTTTCAGGGAAACCTGAACCTCCCATACCTCAATGCTTTCAGGGAAACCTGAACTTTTCATACCCCAATGCTTTCGGGGAAACATGAACCTCCAATACCTCAATACTTTCAGGAAAACCTGAACCTCTCAATACTTTTAGAGAAACCTAATCCCTCTCACTGCTTTCAGTGAAACAAGGACCTTATGTCTCAACTACTATGTCTTGCTGTTAAGAGCCTTGGTTTTAACGACAGTTCAGAATTCTGTGGCATTGAAAGGCGATTGATTGCTTCGAATATTGATAGATACAAGAATCATCGATCATGGAAGAAAAAAATTGAAATCGTGATCAAATTAACATGGCCTAAGAAATATAACAAACAAGTAAATGTGGAAAAAAGTGTTTGTGGATACCCTCTGATTCGTTTCATGGCTTATCACTTGAACTATCTTGTAATACATAAGTTCAAAACCTTGCTTTTTTAGCCATAATCCTGTAAAATCTCTTCTCGATCTATCATCTACCGAGAATAGAGGTTTAAAGTGCCACTCGTGACAATTATCAGCCGTAATCTGGTTGATGTGAGGTAAATAATTAAACGGGGGTTTACATTCTTCTTTTCTGCATCTGATTGCGCTGATGTAGGATGATATACCCAAAGTATTCTATGATATTGAATAATACTAGCAATAACGCTTCGCTGAAGTCTGTATTATCTATGTTTTTTTGTAAAGGTAAAAGCTATAACCTCAAACCTTTAACCTTCTAAAGAAAGCTGAATAAGACCTACTATAATGGACTTACATGTAGATATAAAGAGTTCATCGCCGATAAACCCAAATCGATTTAAATATCACAAAGTCGGATTATCATTACGATTTTTTTTTATTCTTTTTTATATCATATCAACCAATGGAAACCAGCCGTTTATATACTAGTTTGGGTTTAGCCCAATAGTAAATGCTAATTCGCATTCACTAACGAAGATTCTAATCACATTAAAAGTGAGAAGTTTGTCATAATATCTTGTATAATATGATGTCATAAGCTTTAACAAACCACATTCAATAGAATTAACAGGACGTAATTGTAGTGGTATAGAAATCGCATAGACAACGATAATCTGCCCTTTTATTGCTAGCTGTTTTGTTCTTATAAACTGACTGGAAGAACAGTGTTTCGTGGCTTTTGTACAGCTGTTTTTTTTAGCGATTGGACGGAATAAACATTTCCGGAAACGATTTTGTAGGTCTACTGTAGTGTCTTTACTTTATAGTTTATAACAAAAAGCTCTGATTCATAATTTGCCAATGGTGCAACTGTATAGTAAATGGAGATAAATGTGCTTCAAATGTTAACCAATTGCTGATAACCTGGAATAGAAAAGATAAAGTTTCAAAATGGGTCTGACGAACAGAAATCGTCCATCACAATCTCTCAGGCGTTCTGACGATGTCAACTGCAAGTCTTTATACGCAAACGGATCGGATGTGTCTTTGCAGATTCCGGATGAGCCTTCCAGAAGGTGGGCGACCAATGAGAGAAGTACCATTAAGGATGTGAAAGGAATCAGGCGATCTGCTTCAAACACCAACAGTGATGCACCTAAAGTTGTACAAAAAGGAATATTATTACAAAGAAGACTGGAGGCTGCACAAACAGTACGAGCCAAATCAATAAATGGTAACACAGACACGAAAATCCAAAGTTCTCCTAGAATTAAGGTCACTCCAAATTCAGCAACGAAACAGTTACATAGAACAACAGTTAAAACATCTACTCCACTTTCCAGTCCGAGACCGACTCCGTCTGTGTCTCCGATTATGTTTAACGGTAGACCAAAATCTTCTGGAGCAGAGTCATTCTCCAATAAGTTTGATTTCAATAATCGGAGATCTTCGGTTGCGTCTTCTAGACCAAGCATAAAAAAAATTACTTCATTTGCCACAGTTGGAAGACAGGTGTCTTCTATTATGAAATTCAAAAGATCTTTCGGAAGAGCTTTGACCATTCCAGAAAACGTTATAGAAGTGGGAGATGAAATTCGAGAACTGCCTAAAAGTCCTCGATTTGCATCGTACCTTTCCCCGGAAGCCCAGTTCGCTGTGATGAAAGGGTATGAAGATGTCCTTCATCGTGAAATTTCAACTAAACTGCCTCAATATAAACCACATTTAAGGAGAACGAAGACTCCCAACAACAAGATTGAGATGAAACGTCTGGACAGAGCAGGATTTAGGCGCTCAAGAGAGGATGATCTTGATAGCGTCTCCAGTATCTACAGTGATGACGAGAATATCAATTATTCCAGTAATGAAACAAGACGAGCAAGTATGCCTGCAACGACCAACTTCTATGGTTTTACAGCTCCGCTGATGAAGGATCGTCCAAGAGCTCACAGTTCACCAGCTGCCTTTGTGCCTCGCGAGAAAAGATTGGTTTTGACATACCGATTTGAAAGTGCCATGGATATTCTGGACACTCTGAGATTTCAAAGCGGATGTTCGACGATCTCCCCTCGAGTTACTGACAACCCTCGTAAAATTCTACCGCTCAAAGACTTCAACAACTGGACTAGTGTGTGGCATAATGAATTTGAGACCGAGGAGACGAAAGACTCGGTCGTTAAAGCTTGGCGGACCTAATCCCATCTTCAAACAGAGGCGTATCTAGAAAATGCCGGAGGAGGGGGTCAAAAATGGATGGTGTCTCTCCGAGTCGAGGCCCAGGGTTCTGGGGGCTAACCCCCTGATAATTTAGAGAGCTAATTTTTCAAATAAAAATAAGATCTATCACAGGCCCGAGGGTGAAAATATAATAATAATGTAATATAATATAATATGTTTTTGTCTTCCAATATTGCTATTTAAACAAATTTCAAATTGTGCATTTGATAAGCCCGAATAAAAGAGCATCTTGTAGCCAGAGATCCAGAGATGATTCCTCTCCACCTTCAAGTTAACAGAGGAAAAGAATGTGATGACGATACCCCATCAAACCTCTTTGGTAGGTGATTCTCCTAGATTCAGTGTCCGGAATCCCGATAGCGCCCTCGAAACAGCATTTAGCGTCAGGACATTTGGAAGCTGGAGATAATTGCTTGCATTTAACTATATGAGAGTTGCAAATCCATGATAACTCGCCTTTAGACGTTCTTGTAATATATATTGTATATTACCCTTGGTTTTAGTTTTTTCCTCTAGTTATGTTTATCGTTGTTAAATGTGTAATTGTATTAATTATTATTACGCAATAGATCATGTTTTATTATTTATCATCCAATGATAGGCCTACAGTCATTAGATTATTATTTACATGTAGGAGTGGACCCAAGTTGTTATCCGGTAGCCTTTGCTCATTGCGCAAAATGAAAGCCCTAACTTAACTTACTTTCAGTGGCGGCGCCAGTGGGAATAATTTACCCCCCTAGAAAAGTGGTTTGCACCCCCAATTGTACCCCCACTTAATTTTCAACATATCTAAATGTCTACCTTTTTTTATCGAAAATATGTGTCAGAATGCACAAAATCAATTCATTTTTCTAAAAATTGAGTCTATGACACCACCACAGAGTAACCAAAATTTGAATTCAGCCTCAGCAGTTGACTCCTCATTGGGTCAGTCTGCTCCCTATTTGTACCCCAGTCTCGGAAGGCTGGTGCCGCATCTGCTTACTTCGTTAAACAGGAAATGTCTGTGGTTAGTTATTTCATTGAGAAGGCCTCAGATGAGCATTTAGGCGAGGTATCAAAGATCAAAACCCCAAACCGTAGCATCGACAAACAATTTAACAGTCTTATATGGAACATAAGTGAAGTGAATGATGGCAAAATCACAACATTCGAAAACTTATTTTAAGATAATAACGTAAATAGGAAGACAAATCCCCTTCAGCAAGAGCCGCCCGCATGATTATCTGCCCTTGCCTAATTATTGATTTCCGGATGTAACTGTCGGAGGGAGGAGAAGAGAACAGCCGCAATAATGGCGACTTGATGTTTACAGAAGTGTCATGTAATCAAATTGGAATAATAAACAGAATTATTGGAATATGTTGCCACCGCCTCGGAAGGTTTGTGATTCTTTCTTTGAACATTTCTTTTGAAATTTCAAATTCATAGTTTTAGATGTCGTGAATTTTGAAGCAGTGAAACTTATTTTGAAAACTGACATTCGAGAGTAGCTATTCAGTAAGGCAAAGTGTAGAAGTAAACTTACTCTTCCACTACAGTAATTCATTCATGGCTAGTTTCGTTTTGAAATTCATGATCAAAATAAGATTGATTTGCCTTTTTTTGTAGGTGAAGCCTTCAGTTCAACTGAAAGCAGTCCACAGTGAGCAGGTCTCAAAATTACAGGCTAAACATCAACAAGAATGTGATTTATTGGAAGATTTGAGGTGAGCTAATTTTGAATCTCTAAAGGGTGAGGAAAGGGGGCGGGGCTGTTTTATGAAGGGCCTTGATGGGGATGCTGGTTTTGTTCTTATACTGTTTATAAAGCTATTTCAGAAATTAGGTGAGCAAATCTGTTGTAGCAATATACCAGTTATGTCTGGCTGCAATCCTAAAATGATCATCAGAACTTTTTGTTTTGCTGACATTTTGTAATGAAATACCATATTTGATAGAAAATCAACAATTTTTGTACCACATTGGAAACTAATGTTAGAAATGAAAGTAACACAAGATTTAAAAGGAAGTTAAAACAACTTCTTAGAATGGACATAAAATTAATTATCAAGAATGGTCAATATGAGTATATTTGCATCAGTTAGTTTACATGGTGTCATAAAGTTACAACAGAATCCCTGTAAAATCTAGAAAATTTACAAAACTAAGTAACTATTGAAAAACGCTTAATCATAATATTAAGCGTTTTTCCATAGTTAAATGCAAGTTTTTTGGATTTATCGGATTATATAAGGATCCTGTTATGTTATTTATGACACCAGGTATATCTACTGATGAATATATGCTCTTATTGGCCAAGTTTAAATTTGTTGAAATTTTATGTTTATTCTAAGACATAGTATTACTTTAAGTAAATTATTTGTTACTGAGGCTTGGTTATTAAATATTAGATTAGATAGGATCCCCCACCATCTCTCTCTCTCTCAAACCTTTCATGGTATACTGTACAATGTTTTGATATGAAATATGTAAAGAATTGTAATCACCACTTAACAGTAGATAAACAATCCTAGTTTTATCAGTCATCTGTCACGCCTCCTTATTTCACTTAAACTCTAGATTCACTTTAATACAATAGATTCACTTTGTTCTAAGTTTGTTCTTTTAAAATAAGTTTCTAGCTTTTTGTGTGTAACTCCTTTTTTTTGCAATTTTCTGTCACACGTGTGATTCCTGTATGAGGTCACAAAAGCTAAGCAAATGATATCTAAGGGCCTTTGAAAAGCTATTTCATCAAACGCTTAAGTTTAACATTTGACTTTTTCAACCACTCTATCTTCTATTTATTTTGATAATGAAGAATAATGTTAAATTAAAATAGTGATAAAAAGGATGAATGATAATCATCATAAGAATGGTTGTAGTGTATGTAGTGATATGAATAATGATAAATACTAGTATAATATAACAGTATGATGTTTATAAATAATAACAATAATGATTAGAGAGTCTAACTGTCTATTTAATGATTATATTCTTTCAACTTTGACCCTGCTGTCAATCATACTATATCTAGTTATCATACAGTAGTACCGTAATTCAATCATTCAATTATTTTTTGAGGTATGGACAGTGGAGTTTTACATCCTGCTTTCCTGCTCTTGATTGGGCTAATGAAGTGTGCAATGAGAGAAATTGTACTAGGACATGGGCTCTTATCTCTTTAGATCTTTTTTGCAAACGTTAATGAGTCTGTAGCTCAAGGGGGCTCCGTTTATTGTCCAATCTAAAACAATTACCCGGTAGTAGAATTTTTATGGTATGAGGTATGGACAGCTAGTTTGTGGAAATGGGAGATTTTGGATGAAAAGGGAGTTTTGCATCTTACTTTTCTGCTTTTGATCAGGCTAATAAGCCTACTCTTTTTATAACTTTTACTACGGCCTGTAACACAAGGAGGCTCATCCAAACAACTACCAGTGCTACCAATATAAGTTTGTCCATGTCAGCTCTTTGGTTCAACCGAGGTTGAAAATGTGAGGCTTTTATCCAACCCTGAACCTTCAGCAAGTGTAACATACTGCCACAGTATGAACAGTATAGGTGAGGTTTTTGACAAGGTGGTAAATATCCCAATGTCATCTGTTGATATATGAAATATACTATTTTGATTCTGATTTTCTACTTTCAATTTTGGTCTTGCTGTCAATCAGATTGTAACTGCCTTTGAAACTATTGAAGCTTGTAATATATAGATGACCCCTAGTACTGACTATGTTATTGGTGAGGTTCATCTTGCTTCAAAGCACATAATTATTAGTTTGTAATTTGGTAGAGTACTGAATCTGAAATGTATATAAAACAAATTTTCATGTTCTGGATCATTTGATTAAAAAAAGATTCCAGATTATCTCTTCTGATTCAGCTCTCTTCATATTTAGATACAGGTTACCATTGTAATTGTTATTTAAAGACTGTTTAAGACTGTTAATGAGTTGTTTCCAGTGTTATTGTTCAAGAGCTTCATTCCTTTGCTCCAAATGAATAGATGATAAGCTTCCAGGAATGTTATACATTTAAGTTTCCATGTGAGCAACAGTGCCACCATGGGTTTGATATTTTGAAACTTTTTAACTAAAAATGTATATACCAAGACTAATAGCTCTGGAAGAATTATTCAAGACTTTGATAACCAATTTTTAAGACAACTATTGATATTTGTAAGTATTCTTTTGGGACTCATTAATCTGATCTATGTCTACTTCACTTTAAGAATTGGATATCTGTAGCTTGGATCAAACGGCCTTATCTATTTTAAGATGTGTCTGGTTGCCAGACTCTGGTAGAATATTGTAGCTCAGATCAATATGTCCTATCTATAAAATGGAATTGAATTGAAGAGATAAATGAACTTCACCTTAGTTTCAGATTTGATCTAAAATGGCAATAGGATAGATCAGTCGTTGAAAGTTGATTTCGTTTGTTAGACAAGTAGGTACCGGTATTGTAATTTCAGATCCCTTGAATTCAAAGAAAAGTTTATGGTTCCATGTCTAGTTTTTTTTTCAATTGAAAAACCCTGTTAATACTAAACTAAAAACATTCCAAAAATCTTAAATTTCATGGGTAATTTTTGCATCATAGAAGTATTTTCTTGCTTTGATCGGTTATTATAGTTTATTGTGGGTATTTTATACGCTGAAGGGAACCTATGTGGAAGAGATGATTACTTGTTAATGGGCACAGTGGAGAAAATTTAATTTTGACATATAATCAGTAATGAAATTTGATATTAGATAATCGAAATTATAAATCCCTAGCCATGATAATCGATTATTTCATCATTTTAGCCAGCCTAACTTTCAACCCCTTCTAAAATACAGCCTGCAAAGAGACAATCTTTTAATGAAAAACTCTTTTTATAACAACAAAATTTCGTGATTAAATTTGTCAGAAGTGTCAGAAGGAGAAAGTTACGACAGAATCTCATTGTAAGAGTTTTCAAGAAATACAGCCTCAAAGTGTTTTTCTCAGCTATGATACAAATGATATCCAAAATCTGCTGAATGTAGGATACATATTTTCAAACATTAAAGGCTAAAAGGATATTTTTGACCACTCGTGGCCGATGGCACACCATGTGCGGGTAACCGTGCGCGACTTTGTCAGACGACAAACACAACGTGCATGTGTTATTGGTATTCAAAGATGGCTGCGGCCAGTGAAGTAGTGACAGAAGCATTCCTTGAGGATAAATTTGTTGAATTATGGCAAGATTACCCCTGCCTTTATAATATCCAATTGTCTACGACGTCTACGAGGTAATAAAAACAACAATAACAACTGCATTCCCCCTCCCCCCTTGTCATCACTTGAACTATCACTGTAGTAGTCAGCCATTTTGATTGATCATGTGATAGGCTGACGTCAGATATAGTTGAGCGAAAGGCGCATCGTGTACGGGGAGTAGTGTGGTGAGAAAGTAGCCCGGTCCATTGGCGCGCGCCTAATTCTCTCCATGTGCGGGAGCCTTTAATATATATTTAAGGACGTTTAAACACCTCTCTTGTGCCGGATTTAAGAAATATATAATCATACACTAAAAGTAGTTTTCAGATTTCTGTAACTGACATATCCTCTCTTCTCTATTGTAAGGTTTAGGGATGAATATCAGTGTCTAAATTGGTCTTGGTACTTGAGTGTGGGATATAGTAGTTAAGATCAGTGAGTCCTATCTATATAAAGAAATTTCTACCAGTGTCATAATGTAGCTGAGATCAATAAGTCGGAATGTAGTAATACAAACAGTGAATGATTGATAGAATGTCTATACGAGTATTGTACTAAAAGAGTTTTATTGGGTATTTCTCTACTCAATCGATGCTGCTATTCCAAATTGTTAATCAAAATCAAAATTTCACTTTGGTTTTACTACAGTTTTGTCTATGGCGGGTTTTCTCAAGCTCGCTTTTTGGAACACATATTATTAATATACAGCCGTATCTGAAACTTCAGATTTGGTTCTTTTCTCTCTCAATTGATGCTGCTAGTGGAAATTGTAATTCTAAATAAAAGTTTCGCTTTGGTTTTACGGCGGTTTGTTAAAGGCGAGTTTTCTCAAGTTCATTATCTTAAACTTGTCATTAGGGTTTTTTTCACACTCAATCAATGCTGCTCGTGGAAATTGTTAATCTGAATAAAAATATACACTTTGCTTGTATCTTTGTCAGGTTTTCTCCAGCAAGGTAGACCATGCTTACTATTTTTGGACACCTAGCATTAATATGAATTTGTCAATTCTTCATTTCTTTCAATAGATGTTTCTATTCTAAATCTTAATAGCTATGAACCCTAACACAGCATTTATTGTTGAGGGTTTTCAGTAGTGAGGCAGGACAATGTTCGTTCTGATGCCTTTTACATATTGTGGTGTCCTGTTTGTGGCACAGTTTCCCTTATTGAACACTGCATGATGTTTGTCCATTTTCATAAAATGTAAAATACAAGTTGATTTCGGCTGTTCTTTATCCAGCTAGAAAGTTTGTTTCTTTGACTTTGTATTCTTTTAAGGCATGAGATAATAATGCCTTTGCCAGTGCTTCCAGGCCAACCCCTATGCTATATAAACAGTTTAAAGTAGATGAATATGAAGGATTATTATTGATTTCTACTCTATAGCTCTTTATTTTATTGGTTTTAAATAACAGTTGATTATTCTACTCGTTAACTTAACGATCTTATCATTTAACATTGTTACAATCAGTGTTATTTATTTACGCTACATAGTTGAAGCACTCTAGACTTAGATATCATAGTGAACCAGTGAGTTAGACACTTGGGATCTAGAATCGATAGAGATAATACTTCAGATTTTTCAACCCAGTTTCCCCTTGTCAATGATGCAGATGGGATGGGATGGGGTGACATGAAAAAGCATCCAGTCCAGAATGGGAGCTACAAGCTATGCACGTTAGAGCAGTGCTTCTCAACCTCAGTGAGATCATTCCTTCCCACAAGGGATGCCTCCAAATCTATTCCTCTCAAAAATAAGTCAGTTTTGAAACGTATTTTACCTGAAAAATTGAATGGATACTACTCATACTCCACATATCAAGATTATTCAATGTGACCTTTGGGTTGAATGTTTATTCACAATTTTCTGTATGTCCAGGGTGAATGATGTAAATTTCACTCGTAGATCACCTTGCCTCCATTTCCCTCCTTGCAATAATTCCTCCCCATGGTCTTCCAATTCCTCTATTGGGGATGAATTCCTCACCTATTGAGAAGCACTGCTTTAGAAAGGGGATGGTGCTGCTGTCCTGGTAAAATTTCCCTCATTGCTCATTACAACTTAAGATGATTTTAGTGTTCTAGTCATCTGAGTTGTTAATCATTCAACTTGATATAAAATCTGGATTTATTACCCAATAACATTACTCTACTGTATAAACTTATTTCTTAATATCATAAATCAAAATTTAATTTTTAATAAGTTTTCTTCAGAAACAGAGCATAGTTTTTCAACAATTATTATCATTTTTACATAGGCCTATCCAAAACCTCACTATCTGATCTTTATGGTGCATTAGTCATACTGAAAGAGTAATTTAATCAACAACAAAATTTATGTAAGTAAACAACCTTCAGTGCTGTTTATTTGGTTTATTGCCGGGAAATACTCCTTGATAAAGAACATGTGATATCCTTCCCAGAAGTCTTTCTATTTGACAAGAGATCAACTGATGCTGTACATATTTCGGATGAAAAAAACCCTTAAGGTGCGGGCACACAAGCTTTCTTGGTCAGAGATTTTTGTGACCGATTAGAGCCTTGAGTAAAATCTTGCATGTGCCATTGCTTCCAAGACAAGATTATCACCTCCCTGACAGGATTTATGATATCAAAAAAGTTTGATAACAGTTTTATGGTCTGCAAGACGTGCAAGCTCAGGCACAAGCAAGATTTAACTTAAGACTCATCGACAAAAATCTCTGACCAAGACCGCTGGTGGGCCTTCGCCATAAGGGAAGCCAGATCTGGAAATTGAGATGGACTTTCCCATTTGGTTGAAATCTACATCGAAACTGTTTCACAGTAAAAGAAGAGAAATATAATCACAGGCTAATAATGTTTTCAAACCAAATTGTAAGAGTAGGAAATTAGCAGGGTTTGAATTTCAATGAAAAAAAAATAGGTCAGAGTAAAAAAAAAAGAAGTGTTAAGTTTCCATGATCATTATTCATGTCTGTCATGTTCTTCTCAAGTCTGGCTTAGAAGTAAAATGAGGACAAGGTTTTTTAATGTGGGTTAAAGGAAAAGAAAAGTCTTTCTTCAATTTTCTTTGAGAAAATGGCAAACAATTGCAAAGGATACAAAATTGTTCTTTTCTTTAAGAAATGTGAAGAAAGAAACTAAAGTCAAAGACAGTAAAATATATAAAAATAGAATAGTTAAAAACATGAATTTTCCCCAAATGTTAAAGTGATACTACGTCTTAGAATGAACATAAAATGTAAGTCTCAAGAATTGTCAGTATGAGTATATATTCTTCAGAGAACTTACCTGGTGTCATAAAGATACAACAGAATCCCTGGAAAATCTAGAAAATTGGAAAATTCATACAACTAAGTTATTATTGAAAAACGCTTAATCTTAATATTCGCCAAGTTAATTTTAGTTAATAAAAACTTCCGTATTGAAGGGTCTATAAAACTTAAAGTGATTTGAACAAGGATCACTTTGTGTTAAGACAGCAAGAGGATGAAGACTTTATCTTTATTTGGATTTATCTGGTAATATTAGGATCCTGTCATGTTATGTATGACACAATGTATAATACTGGCTCTTATTGGCCAATTTTAAAATTCTTAAATTTTATGTTCATTCTAAGACGTAGTATCACTTTAAGTTTCGAAATGAGATTTTTTCCCTCCTTTTCTATTCAATCTATAGCAATTCCATTGGGATTAATTTAAAATCAACAAGTTTTTAAACCATAAAAGAATGGTGAATGATGTAACAGTTTTTCTGTTATACTGAGGAGATTACTTTCTTCACTATTACTAGATAGAGAAATTTCATTTTCTATTTCGTGAAAGATCTATCTAAAATCTTCGGTGACATATGACACAGTGACATAGGTGGTATTTTTGGGCCATGACCTGCCCTCAGGCCTATGAATGGTCTTATTATGAAGTGAAAATTAAGCCCTCTAAATGCTCAATATTAATCTTAGGTCATCTGAAGTTTGTGCGTTCTAGGGGCCTCTAGCAGCCCCCAATACTCCCAGCATCCAGGGGCTTCGGGCCTTCAGACCTCTTCTAGGAGAGAGAGCCATCATTTATTCCCTCCCCCCCTTATTATTATCAATGCAAAGACATTCTAAGACTAACAGTTCTATTATGAAGCTGATATTCCAGTTATCATAAATATAATGGATTTAATTCAAAAAAGCCTTTTTAAATTGCTCAGACAAAAAGTTAATTTTAAATATAAATTGATTATTGAAATTGATAGATGTGTCTATATATTTTATGATCAATGACAGTGCGGACAGTTCTGTGTCATATCAACAAATAAAAGCTATATTATGGTCTAGCTTAAGATGATAAACAACATAAAAATAAAAACAATATAGCCTCGTATTTCAACTGAAGTTAATTTGAGATATCAGTTGATTATTAAAGTTGATAAATTTGTCTGTTATTTTCAGGACATATTGTCAGAAGAGGTCAGCTTTAGAAAAAGAATATGCTCAGGTAAGACGTCATCTTCAACTTTTTCTGGGAATTGGTTTAAAACCATTGACATCTGTTGTTATAAAGTTTAGAACTTACGATTCCGATCGGGTTCAATTCTACAAAATCGACCCATGCTCATACTTACATTTACTGTCTTTCAAGTATTTGCTTAACCAGCTGAAGAGCTTTTTCAGCTTCACCGTAGTACTCTCCAGAATGTAAAAGTTCTGGAAGACACCCCAACCATCCCCCAACCATCATATAAGATTCTGTGCAATTACTTTGATCACAAATGTGTGAACACCACCATAAAGATATCCTTGACATTAGAAATATGATGGAAGGCAAAATTCTGTTAGTCCAGAGAAGGAGATCTTTGATAAGTAAATTTAGTTACATTCTAAAATCTTTTTACCATATTGTAAAGAATCCATGATTCCTTTGGATAAAAACAAAGTTAAATTTCCTTTTGAAGATGTGTAGGATGCTTACAAGTTGGAGTTAAATAAAATCTTACTTTCATATAACAAAAATTCTGTATTTTCTTAGGACCAAAAGACTTTTCTTGTGATCTTTATAAATTGATAAAATGTCTCTATCAGGAACTATAGCATTGATTCATGTCATGTCTCTAGAAATAATCCAGCCTTCTAGCTGGAAAATAAAAATGTTAATAAATATAAAAATGTTTGAAGAAGTCAATAATGTGTAAAACAAAGTTTATACAAGATCTTTCAATCTTAACAAATTCTTTTACCACCCTCTAATCAATATTCTGATTTTACATTCTAACTTTTTATCCTTAAACTACGCTTTCCTTTTATATTCACAGTCTGAAATTTGATTTTACTCTTATATCAATATAGCCTGCAACTTGATTAACAACAGAAACCCCATGTGCTATTGGCTGTGTATTTTCAAGAAGCTCCAGTGTTTGAAATTGTTAATGTATAGAGTATTACCAGTGTTCTGGCAAAATTTTCCTCTTTGTAACTGCATGGTTGTGTACAGATTTATTGCCCATTCCCGAGCATAAAATTAGGAAGCAAAAAGACTCCATTTCATTTCTGATAATAAGAGCTTGAAGGTAATTTAACTTCACAAAAGATGACAGTTGTCAATTTAAAGATCAAGGACTGGAAACTAAGCTCAAAGAGAGAGTGGGGATCACAATTTTAACAGATAATTTGCCAATCTAATTAGGTAGTTTACAGATAAAACATAGAAGAAGGCTGTGGTGATTGAGTTTTCTTGACTCTACCTAGACAAAATAGGACTCTATGTTTTGGAGAGTAAAATGATTGAAATAATAGATTTTCGTCGCTAAGATATATAATTTCGATTATCGATTATCAAATTTCATAATCGAATATATATTAAAGTTACATTTTCTCCATCGTACATATTAACAAGTAGTAATCTCATCTACATAGGTTCCCTACAGCACATAACATACCCACAATAAACTATATTAACAGATCAAAGCAAGAATATACTTCTATGACGCAAAACTTACCCGAGAAATTAAGAATTTTGGATGTTTTTAATTTAGTGTCAGGGTTTCTGTATTGAATTATTGCAATTATTAATCGATTATTGATCGGTAGTCTGACGATGATAATCAATCTCAATACTCAATTTTAGTCTGTATTTTGTACATGAGTCAATAAATTTGCTATGAGGTATTGACATATCTATAAGATTGATTTTAGTTTTCTGAACTCTATGTACTATTCATCCTAAATATTTCTAGAATCTCATTTCAACAACTATTATTGTATCAAGTTAAATATCAATAAATGACAACAAATGAGCAATTTTTACAGAAGAGAATTTCCATTGCAAAATGTGTGTCATATTACGCATGGTATTGAAGTGTATTTATTTCAAATGTAAAATGATCGAACCTTACACTTACATCTTTATAGACCAGAAGAAAAGTTAAAGCAAGTGGTATTCAATTGTAAATTTTGTTTTGAATATTTCTGTTTTCTGAACTCACTTTGGTTAAACAAACCAGTTAAAATTAGACCAAATTTTCATGGTTTTTTTTTAGCTTTTATATTTAATATAGCCACTTCCGTTAGGGTCTAAAGACTGGCCTCTTAAACATTCGTCAAAAAAACCTTTTGACCTAATCTTATCACACCTGCTTTTACCAATCAAATTCCTTCACTCTCTCAAAAAATTCCAGCTGTGGAGAGGGCACCAATTTGATTGGTTAACGCAGAGATAGGTCAAAAGGTTAATTTGACGAATGTTTAAGAGGCCAGTCTTTAGACCTAAATGAAGTAGCTATATTATAATAAAAACAAAGTTTGGTTTAATTTGAATTAAACTGTTTGGTTAAAGAGGCGTATGTTTCAGACTATACTAGATATCAAGCTCAAGTCTACTTGTATCTCTCTCACTTTATTAGTCAAGATATCATGTCTGATTAAATCATCTTGTTATTTTTACATTATTTTAAATTTAATCAGTACATATATCAAAATTAACTTATTGATTATTCTTGCCAGCAATTTATAAGATATTTTTAAGAAATTGAGATTATTAGATGTACATTGAGAGTTTTATCTTAATTCAAACACACAGAGTATTAGAGTTCAATTTCAGTTAACACTATAAATATCACTATTCAGAAAGAAAGTCCAACAAATGATATGTCTACAATTAAAGTTACTTTAAGAAAATTTTAACTTAAAGGAACAGATTTGCCATTCGTTTGACCAATCATACATTAGTGTCAGAAACAGGAATTTTTTAGCTGAGCTAATCAGTAATAGTGTTCACAGCTCACAGTCAAAATTCTTTTCTTGAGACTCGATATATAGAAAAGACATTAGAAATAAAAAGTAAAATTCCAGTACTAGTATTTCTAGTACTTCTGAAGACTTTTACATATATTCCAGAAAACAGCAACCAATGTTCTTTGTCATGGTTGTTTAAGTATCCTGATTATTTTCTATAAAACTGAAAACAGTTAAATGTACTGAGAACCATTCTGTGGCTTTTTAAGCAACTCTCGGATTACTGCATTTAGTCATGAAAACAGTCTGGTATCATTCTCAGATTCCATAAATTTCTGGATTCCCCAGTAACAGCGGACCTAGAAAAAGTATTGGATTTTTGTTCATAATATCTGCCAGCTTCATAATATCTGCTGGCGTTGTAACAAGCACTGAATGAAACATAGGGTCAAGGACAATTCAGCTGACATAACCTAGTTTGGAATGATAAAGATTGGTATTGATTGGTCAATAACTGTAGTATATTGCTGATATTGCCCACTTATTAACCAATGATTATTGATTATTCTAATTATACTAGTAGTTGATGTGATAATACCCAGAAAGTTATCTCTGAGTTTGATTAGGTAGCAACAAGGTATATATTAGCTCAATGGGTTTCTCTAGCAAAGCTACATGAAACTTTTGGTGCTATACTGTGATAGACACTTCACCTAAGATGACAATGTAGATTGTTGAAACATAGTGTGTAATAAAAGTAGTAGGAGTAGTATTCTATAAAATTGTGCCCGTCATTTAATGTGATAGACATTGGTTAGCTAGTCATTTCTCTAAAGTGGGGGAAGGGACACATTCTTGCTAACCTAAGGGCACAAGTTTGAATCCTGACATAGGTTAAGATATAAACTGTTTTTATAACCTGGCTTCCCTCTGTCAGTGATGCGTAGGTCGGAACAGCTTAGATATTCCATTGGGACAATAACCGTGGCCCCCTTGTGCAATAGGCTTACACGTAAGAGATACCTTGATCTGCTTATTCCGACATTTTCCGACTAGACAAATTCAGTGTGCCAAGCTTCCTGTAATAAGTGTCTCAGTCCAAAGCAATTCTGACACAAGTATCTCCCTTTTGTTTGCTTTACCAGACATATTAATGTCAACAGTTGTAATAACTTATCTTTATTACATTAAGACTGGATGTAAGAGACAGACAATATACATGATTAAATAACCAATCGATAGTGGCCAAAGTAATATCGGATTATCCAGGTCACTGAGTTTATCAAATGAAGTCTTGATTAACAAGACAATTGTGTTAGTGAAGAATAACATCTTAAAGAGGGTGTATGTCCATTGTTATAGCTGTTTCGTAATCCTACATCTGTTTATAAACATTGGCTAATTTTCACGGCTGTTGTCCTGTCATTGAAAATGAATTTTTCAAAAACTGGGGATAAGCTTGAATATGTTGTTACTGTATTGTTGTTTATTGAAATTAATTCATCACAGTCAAATACGAACACCATTTTAGAGATCAGTTTTTAATTTCAGTAGACTGTCTTTGAGGCTTGCAACTACAAATTGATCCAAAATGATGGCTGTAAATATATGTTACTGAAATGACAACAATGCTGGGAATGTAATAATTCAAAAGAGTTTTTAAAGATTTATATTTTGTAGATGAAAACCCTTATAGCTTCTATTTACACCTTACAGAATTCCTTGAACATTGCAATAAAATACCTTTTGGTTTGTATGGTATTTGTCTAAGATACATGATTATCTGCTCAAGTTCTGAAATCTCAGGAACTAAAGACTTCAGACAGGGAATCAGAATGATAAATAATACCGAAAACCCTCTAAATAAAGTTTGGTAAAAGATAAATAAAAGAAGTTAAAATTAGTTTCAGAAATATAAAATTTCAATGTCTTGAGAGGATGTAATAAAAGTTGAAAATACTTGAAATATAGACAGAGCACCTGCTAGTTAGGTTGTATATCTATTTACTGGAGTATATCTATTTTTCAGAGTATATAATTAGTAATACTATACTGCTTGTTACAATCCAGGTGGTATACCTGTTTTCAAAATTAGAAATTATTATTCTATCAGTATTGCCAAGTGATATGACTATATACCCTTTGTCACTCTTGTTAGTCAATACTGACAGATTTTCATGGAATTTTCTTTTCTTTCGTCCTACTACTATCTAGGTCAGTGGTTCCCAATTTTTTCAGCCTTTACACCCCTGGAGCAATCACGTGGACCTTTCACACCCCCAAAACTTGTTTCATCCACATTTTCAGCATGTGATGATGTGAGGTGCTCTCAATTCATACACCATTTGGCCACACTCCTGACACCCTAGCCCCAAACCCCCAGGGGGTGAAAACACCCCAGGTTGGGAACCAGGGATCTAGGTGATAGGAGTGTTTTCTATATTAGAAATTATGTTTTAGCAGTATTGATATGGTGATATAGGTGATATGCTCTCTTGTTAGTCAATACTTACAAATTTTCATGAAATTTCCTTGACTGAGATTAAATGTATAATTTAAATATTGTACCTATTGCTACAATCTAGGTGACAGGATTGTATTCTGTATTAGAAATTATAATTCCAACAGTATGGTATCAGTTGGTTATTGCTATGAGGAGAGGACCTCAATGAAGACTATGCAGGGTCATCAATGTGGTATAAATCCTACTGTTATGTATGAGAATAGCCAATGCTAGGTCATTAGTAATGATAACTGTACTGAGTCAACTTGTAAGAAATGGGATTGGATACCCTTTATATTGTCAATTTCTTACAAATAAGTAGACAAATTGACACATTCTTAAAATTACTATTTCAAATAGCCAATGACAAGATCCTTCATTTATGTATGTTAGGGATTATAATGAAAGATGTAAAGTTGCTTTAAAATGGGACACTAGAAAAAGGATTGGATATAATTTCTACTTCTTCAAAGACAATCCACCCAGCCTTAAAACTTGAAATAATAGACAATGACAGATGCCATTGCTTCAAGGCTTAAAAGGGCCTTAGTGGAAGAGGCTTATTTTGTTGTATGAAGCTGGAAATAAGAATGTTCAAGAAGTTGTTTATTAATAACATGCAAGTAATAAAACTCTATTCCAAGATTATCCAATAAAATGATTCAATAACAGCAATGTTTACGAATATCAGATCTGGAGTTGGAAAATTACGAGCAAGCAGACGTCAAGATGATTATTTTAGAAAGGGAGAAATCGGTGAAGAGTTGATTAAAGAAGGTGACTAATTTAAAAGTTGGTAGGAAGCCAAAGTTTTTCTCGTTATGACAGTGTTATGGTCTTTCTGGTGAAGAATTGGTGTATTGATCTATGTCATGTTGTATTGCATTAAAGTGATCACATCAAGATATTTTACTATTCTGCATCAAATAGTGACAAGTTGAATAGTGATGTACATCTATTTCAGATGATAGATCTATTTCACATGATAAGGTCTATTTAATTAAACCATTAATTGCTTAAATGACGCAGATGGAGTTTTAAAAAGCGCTTCTATGGGTAAGGGGGGGGAGTACCCTGGAGAACAGAATCCGCTCTGCTTTGTCTGCCCAACCACTAGTGCTGGGTATCGTCAATCATGCCACAATACGATACGTATCACAATACAAGGGTCACGATATGATAGATATCTATCGTATTTTATCTTCTAAGTTTCTATATATATCAATTTATAACTGTGATATTTGGTAATATAGTTGATAGAAGTGGGTAGGGTCCACTGTCTTATAAAAAGTTTCTAACAATTTCAGTGAAAAAATTGTTATATCATAAACAAACTTTTTTATGGAATGAAAGGTATCGCCAAGTATTGATACACGATGTCGCGATATGATACAAGTATTGATACACGATATCGCGATACGATACAAGTATTGATACACGATGTCGCGATACGATACATGTATTGTAGTATGTCATTTGCGATACATCGATTCACCGAAGTAATGTGCCAGCACAACCAACCATTCACCATCACCCTCTCTCATATTTCTTATTATTTTACATACTTTAATTTTCATTGTTGTAAATCATTCACAAAATCTTCCTTGCTGGAGCAGTGGCGGAGCTAAAGGGGGGGGCAGAGGGGGCAGGCCCCCCCCCCCCTCGCAGCCACGAAAGCAAGTTTTTCAGGCAAAAATCTCATAAATAGGTTAAAGACCCGGGCAATCTCAGATATCTCGCCCTCCCTCACCCCCCGTTCGGACATAAACCTGGCTTTGCTGAATCAAATGGTGTTTCATTTCTGGAAAAAGTTATTTTTGCATATTGATTTGAAAACTGTTTTGAAATGTGATTACAAGTTTAGAAATGAAATGGTAACTACTATTTATCTAAAGATTAAACTAAATTGAGGAAAATTGATAGTAAAAGTTGATTATTTGATTTTCTGCCAAAAACCTGGTGTTTTCAAGTATTAGGCAGTGACAATGATAGACTTCAGGTCAATAAAACTAACTTTTAAAACAAGAAATTACAGAATATAGTTGATATTAATGAACATCCAGGTCATTTGTCAATACTCGGCTGTTTCTGTAAAGCTGAATCTGTCTTGGAAATGAACGATGGTAGATTTCGAGGCTCATTACCTATACATATAATAAATGCTGTATTATGATTATTGGCTTACCAATGAAACATTTTGGATCCATATCTTACAAAGTTTTTGGTGTTTTTTTTTATTTTGTTAACAAAGGCTTGTAGTCTTGAACTACCAGTATCCATAGACATATTATGTGATCACATGACAATATACATAGATCAGGCAAACTAGGACTGCCATTCATTACTGTAGTGATGGGCCGTTTCCATCCGGGTCAGATTCAAATGAAAAACAAGCGCATTCTATTTTGATTTCAGGTAGAATAAGCAGTAATTTGCGCATTATAATCAATGGATTCTGTGGTTTTTATGTTGAGTAGGACCTTTATGCATAAATATATCCTTACTCAACTATTCCCATGGGCACATGAGATTTTCAGTGAAAACTGGGAATATATGGTAAAAAGGTTTCCACCATTAATGTTATGAGGCATGAAATATATGTGCGTTTTGCTGAAATTTTTCTTTCTGCTACTCGATACAATAATTTTATCAGAGCTTTGTTTCATTAACCTACATGATAGAGTGTTCAATAAGCTCAAATCATTGAAAAATCACGTTATGTCTTCTCATTGTAAAAGAAATCTGTGGGTGAACATATTTCATATTTCTTTTATATAATATAACACTGCCAATAAATCATCAGTTATAAGTATTGTTTGTATAAATATAAAAATAGAGATATATTAGTATAACTATAAACAAGTATTTATCCAGTATAGAGGTTAGAGACAGAGGTTAATATACATACAGATAATAACAAACAAGAAGGTACAAAAAGGAATACAAGAGTATCCATCCAAATATTCAACTTTAAGTCAAATGGTCGTCGAAATATTTATTTTACCAGCCAATAGAGCTCGATTATGGTCATCGAAATATTTATTTTACCAGTCAATAGAGCTCGATTATGGTCATCGAAATATTTATTTTACCAGTCAATAGAGCTTGATTATGGTCATTGAAATATTTATTTTACCAGTCAATAGATGGTCATTGAAATATTTATTTTACTAGCCAATAGAGCTCGATGTCAGCTGTCTAATCATTTTGATTATGGTCATTGAAATATTTATTTTACCAGTCAATAGAGCTCGATTATGGTCATCAAAATATTTATTTTACCAGTCAATAGAGCTCGATTATGGTCATCAAAATATTTATTTTACCAGTCAATAGAGCTCGATTATGGTCATCGAAATATTTATTTTACCAGTCAATAGATGGTCATTGAAATATTTATTTTACTAACCAATAGAGCTCGATGTCAGCTGTCTATATCATTTCCAGGGCATTTTTGAGCGTGTTTTATGACCAATGATATCATCTAGTAATTGAATACTACAAGGTACTGGTGATACTCATAGTTGGGTGTATGAGAGGGCATAGTAAAGGTGTATTGTATATTACAAGAGTAATATAGTCAGAATTGTATATGATGTAAACAGGTATTTTTCAGGTATTCTCGAGTTGTATATGTGCATATTATATTCAGAATTATACAATATAAGTTAAAACCATTGTATTTTAATGGTATATACCAGCGTATTATATTTAGAATTATACAATATAAGTTAAAACCATTGTATTTTTCTGGTATATACCAGCGTATTATATTTAGAATTATACAATATGAGTTAAAACCATTGTATTTTTCTGGTATATACCAGCGTATTATATTTAGAATTATACAATACAAGTTAAAACCATTGTATTTTAATGGTATATACCAGCGTATTATATTTAGAATTATACAATATAAGTTAAAACCATCGTATTTTTCTGGTATATACCAGCGTATTATATTTAGAATTATACAATATAAGTTAAAACCATTGTATTTTTCTGGTATATACCAGCGTATTATATTTAGAATTATACAATATAAGTTAAAACCATTGTATTTTTCTGGTATATACCAGCGTATTATATTTAGAATTATACAATATAAGTTAAAACCATTGTATTTTTCTGGTATATACCAGCGTATTATATTTAGAATTATACAATATAAGTTAAAACCATCGTATTTTTCTGGTATATACCAGCGTATTATATTTAGAATTATGCAATATAAGTTAAAACCATTGTATTTTTCTGGTATATACCAGCGTATTATATTCAGAATTATACAATATAAGTTAAAACCATTGTATTTTTCTGGTATATACCAGCGTATTATATTTAGAATTATACAATTTAAGTTAAAACCATTGTATTTTTCTGGTATGTACCAGCGTATTATATTTAGAATTATACAATATAAGTTAAAACCATTGTATTTTTCTGGTATATACCAGCGTATTATATTTAGAATTATACAATACAAGTTAAAACTGTTGTATTTTTCTAGTATATACCAGCGTATTATATTTAGAATTATACAATATAAGTTAAAACCATTGTATTTTTCTGGTATATACCAGCGTATTATATTTAGAATTATACAATATATGATATTAACTTTGTATTTTTCAGGGATTATTAAAGCTAGCTAACCAATTATTAAAGAGAGAATTTCCATCACAACCTGATAGTGTCAGTTCAGAAGATGGCAGAGAACACAAGTAGGTTTTCTTTTAATTTCTTCTTTGTCCAGTTATTAGCCAAGAAAACACCTTAATACATTTATAATACAACATTAGCTGTAAGAAACTTTCCAAAAAAGTTACAGAGTTGAAAAACCTAAAAATATTAATAGGGGGTAGGAATTGAAATATTTAGACTAGCAACTCATGAGCTGAAGAGGGAAGAATCAAATATGTTACATTTATTGCTAAGAAGCACGATTCCCAGCATTTTGAACCTCTGACATTTTTTCTTAATTTGACTGGCCATCAGATCAGAAGAAATGTTCAAAGAATCTCTTTTTAACACTAGTAGCAACTTTACCAGCCACAAAATTACTTAATGTGCTCTCAAAACATAGCTATATTACCAGTTGCGTATGATTGTGAATAATGGTCATGAGTTTCGAACCCAATAGACATTTACAACTCAGTAGCATGAGAGTTGCATTGGTAACTTATAACCACTATATTTATTCAGAATCATATGCAACTGGTGACTGCTATTGTGTGAGGCCCACTTTAATACATGTAGACTACCCCTAGAGGTATTCATTTTATTTCATTTACACTTTATGCTCAAAGGGTTAAGTCTATAATTCCGTCTACAAATAGAGAAAGATTAACTTGGTAATAGGTTGATTTTTTTGGTGAAATGTTTTAGATCTAAATCCATTCAGGCTTGAATAACCTGAATAACTTGCCTTAATGAGTTAGAAGTACATTTATCATTGATTTATTTCATTCTAATGGAATAGTAAAGAGATTTTCTGGCATTTTCATGTGGATAGAAGGCATTGCTAATGTTCATTTTTTTTTCTTTCCACAAAAATAAAAAGTATAATATATAGGATTTGAAAAGAAGCAGGTATTTGCTGACGTAAAATATGACATTGACTACAAATCATTCCAACTAGAAAATATCTCTAGAAACCATTTAATAGCTTGAGTTTAGATTGGAGTCTGACTGTATTGAAAGTTACTGAAGCTTGATTCTCAAATCAGACATTTCTGATAGTTCCATTCATTAGCTTACTTCTTACTCTTTATACCACAAATAGTTTTTCTATTGTATTGCTGTTAGATTGTAGAAAACTCTTTTACTTGGTCTCTTCAATGAAACTTGTTTATTTGGTTCTCTTCAATGAAACTTGTTTATTTGGTTCTCTTCAATGAAACTTGTTTATTTGATTCTCTTCAATGAAACTTGTATATTTGGTTCTCTTCAATGAAACTTGTTTATTTGGTTCTCTTCAATGAAACTTGTTTATTTGGTTCTCTTCAATGAGACTTGTTTATTTGGTTATCTTCAATGAAACTTGTTTATTTGGTTCTCTTCAATGAAACTTGTTTATTTGGTTCTCTTCAATGAAACTTGTTTATTTGGTTCTCTTCAATGAGACTTGTTTATTTGGTTCTCTTCAATGAAACTTGTTTATTTGGTTCTCTTCAATGAGACTTGTTTATTTGGTTCTCTTCAATGAAACTTGTTTATTTGGTTATCTTCAATGAAACTTGTTTATTTGGTTCTCTTCAATGAGACTTGTTTATTTGGTTCTCTTCAATGAAACTTGTTTATTTGGTTCTCTTCAATGAAACTTGTTTATTTGGTTATCTTCAATGAGACTTGTTTATTTGGTTCTCTTCAATGAGACTTGTTTATTTGGTTCTCTTCAATGAAACTTGTTTATTTGGTTCTCTTCAATGAAATGATCAGTGTGAATAAAATACAGCTTCTGATATTTTGTTGTGTAAAGGTCTAGCTTGTTACTTCACTCGTGTGCAAGTATCTGAAAACATTTATCCAAGAAGTGTGTTCATAGTTTGAACCAATCAAATAACTGTTCTGCAATAGCTCAAACAGAATTTTGAGATATTTGTTATTGAACATTGAACTTAGAGAGATATGGTTGTCTCAGCTTGCTCTCAACTTTATGTCTCACATGTCATGTGAATTTAATATCTGATTATCCTTCAATAAAACAAACAAAAAAATGCAAAATCCACTTTAAACAATCGTTGAACATTCTCAAATCAGTTATTAACAATGATGCTGTAATAATAAAAACCTATTGTTTACAATGCTGTATCCAATGGGCATAAATCATCTGACAATCATCAGGAAGAACATAGGAATATTTTAAAGAAGAATGGTATATGATCTGCGTATTCCGTTGTTTCAATCTTTATTGTCATTTTTAGTAAATGGTTCCCTTATTGTGATCAGTAAGCAATTTGAATTTCCCCTCTTTTAGGTGTAAGGGTTTTTTGAATTCGGTTTTTTTGTTTCAATGATATCTCTTCTAATTTTTTGGTAATATAATGCGGGTTATTTGAATTTTTTTCCTTTTTTTTCAATTTGCTAGTCTTGGTAATGGAAGGTAGGTTATAATAAAAATTGATGTTTTTTTATTTTCTCATGTGTAATAAGCATGAATGTTGTACGGATTTGCCTTTTTTTTGACTTTTATACAAAAGAGATAGATGAAATCATGGGTTCACAAGCTAAATGAGCCCAGTTTTTTTATATTTACTTTAATATTATTTTTAGATTAGTGTGTAGAATGTATTTTATCCAATATGATTATATTAATGTTTGTTTTATTATTTGCAATACTAAAACAAGATTATAAATCTGAGTTGCCCAGAAATGAGAATGAAACTAAGAACTACCAGTACTTCTAAATGTCACTTAAAGATTAAAACTGAAATTGTCTGATACATATTGTCTCTGTTTCTGTTATATTAATAATTGTTGAATATTATCAGATAAGGCAGTGAAATTCTAATAATATTTTGATATATAAATGTTACATTACAGTATATTGTTTTCATGTTGCAAAAAAACTATTTCATTTAATGCATTTAAATTTTTTTGAAAACTTCGTAAAATTTGCTAAATATTGTGTGATATATCCTAGATTAAAACCGTTATTGATCTGTATATTACAGGACAGCCTGTACAGTATGGCACACTATACTGGAAGAAACAGAGAAACTGGCGAAAGCACGGCTCCAGGCAGCAGAAATATACAGTGATAAAATAGCTGAGCCTGTCAAACCTCTTAGATCTAGTAAAGTTCATTGTATGAAAAAGGTATGTGAAGGTTTTTTTGTTTAACTTGTGACTTTTTTCAGCATTCTTAGCATATCACTTAAAATTCTTAATTCATCATGAGTATAGTTCATAGAGTGGTTGAAAAAGAAACCTTTTGACAGTAAACAGACACTGAATTCAGTGATGCTGAAAAGATGAATGTTAAAAGGCGAACTATGTAGGTATAGTTAAGTTAAGTAATATGAAAATCCACCAGAGAAATATTTTAACAATTCTTGGGGTCCATTCATATTTCAAATAGAAGTGCAGTCTGATGTTTGTTGCAGGATTATCAATATAGTAGAATATGGTATTTAACTCTTGTCGGCAATTTTACTGCATCTGTTCACCTCTTCTATTTTCAACATTAATCCTGTACTGTATACTATACTAGACAGCTTACCATGTCTATCACACCTGTATAATGCTGTTAAGGATACTGTCAATCTGGTATTTTACTGTGATCCCACTCTGTATCTTACCATGGCTATTTGCTTCTGCATACAATAGTGGACACCTGTCCTGTTGCACCATTATGATGTTGTTTATTATGAATTGTATATCTTGTATTTTACTGTAGGTGATGCCCCAGTTAACAACAATCCAATCAGAATTGTCCCACTCTGTATCAGAGATGGTGAAATCCCAGAAGTTATATAACACAGAGGAAAGCCTGTCTCATGAGGCTCGGCAGAAATCAGCTGAAGCAGACGACAAGTAAGTCTAAAAGGTTTTTATCTGGATGTTAAAAATCATAGGGAATAGATTAACTTATAGAATCAGCAATTAATTTATTTGTACTTGTGTAGATCTGTAAAATATATCCCAATCTACAATGGATATTTTATAGTTTTCAATTTAATCCAGGCTAGCTCCTCTAACAAGAGCCTTTTTCAATTTCGAGTTATGTTACATGAAACTTCATTTCTTTCAGATTAAAAAGAAAATCTACTGGTATATTTCAATCCTTAGCTAGCTTACAGAAAACAAGTGCTAAGGTATAGTCATGTCTGTACTTTCACTCTCATAAGTTCGTTCATTCGTAGTATATTCCAGAAGTTCCTGTTAATTTAGATGATTTTACTGTTCAATGTCATTTGATTGGTTAATCATTAAAATTGAGTTGAAATTTTTTGTACGAACCTATCAGATCACAGTTTTTTTCAAGATTTGAAATTTGTCTTTGATGGTATCTGTAAATGAAATGAATGGAGTTTTACGTCCTACTTTTCTGCACGATGGTATCTGTAAGGTATCCATATTAAACTAAGTTAAATTCTGATTTTGAAATCTCTGAATTTTCAGTTAAAGAGTCGAAGAGAAGCATGTGAAATAAGATCTACAGCCTGTCGTAATGATCATATATTAAACTTATCAGCAGCTAACGCCCATCAGATACGATATTATAGTACAGATTTACCAGAATTATTACAGGTTAGTATTATATTGACATTATTATTCTATTCAAGCCTAAAGGGATTATGAAGAGGTTTTTAGAATATTTGATGTGTATAGAGGACACTGATAGCATCAATTTATACCATTCCAATTTTCAATCAGACATGGTTCCTGCAATTCCACAAAAATAAAGTGATTGATGACATCACTAATCACAAAATATGCTTTATCAAATAAGGCCCTTCACAATTAGTGGCGTCATCAAACACTTAGTTTTAATCGAATTGCAGGAACCACTGACGTCTGATTGAAAATTGGAATGGCGCAAATTGATGCTGTCAGTGTCTCCGATATACATAAAAAATTAAGAAAACCTCTTTATAATCCCTGTAATAAAGATAGATGTTTACCAACCCCCTCATATTGTTAAATATGTAGCCACAAATTGCCTAAGAACATGATCTACAGACTGTGCAGCTTAGTTGGAAAGAGTAGGCTAACACTGCTGCTTGGCAAAATTTTCCTCATTGTACACTATGATGTTTCAAGTTTTCATTAGCATGGGTCAGATGTAAAAAAAAAAGGAGAGACAAAACTCCAACACATTTAATTAAAAAGAGATCACATGAATGAATGTTATGCTATTTAAACATTACAGATACTAGATGGTGAGGTTTATGAGAAAATTGAAGAATACTTCTCTTTGATTGGTCACACTGCAGCGGATGTTAGCCAATCAGAGACAGAGAGTTTCCGTAATATTGTCACACAGGCTGAAAAGGTTTGTTTGTTTGTTCATTAATATGATATATTATGACCAAAACATACATTTGTGCATTAAATCAAAATGGAAATTGGAAATATTAGAAAACCCAGTTTTAGCTTAAGTTTAGAATGAGAAATGAAAAACTTTAAGACATAATAGTTCATCGGATTCAAAAGATATTTTCAAGCATTGTTTGCAAACTTTTTCTATTACCATCTTTCCTGTCTGACATATGTGGTTCCTGAAATTCCATTGAAAACATTATGACATTCAAATGCCAGAGAATCTTTTATTGAATCCTTATTAACTCACTGGCAACCCATCTGTTTGAAACTTCAATAGAAACATCAAAGAGAAAGTTTGTAGATTATAATGGATTAAGTTGATGAAAAAAGAAATATTGGATCAAATAAACTGTATATTCTGAGTTTGATAAAAGTATATTATGATGATATTGATTATGGCAAGCTATATTTTATCAATATTATGTCACTATATAAGATATATATTATATTCCTTGTCACAGCTGTTTATAATCTTTATCAGATATTACTTATTATAATTCATATTACATATATGTATATATAACTCTTTTTTAATGTCAGTTTTACTCTCAAACCTTATATTAAAGATATCTATTTTGTAAGTTAAAGGGGAACAGTCAGCGTTTTCGGGGATTTATTTGGGTCTGTATTTTACTTTAACAGTATTAAGTACTAAAATCGCATAATCCCTTCAACTATAACTCAAACTAGAAATTTCAGTCTATTTCTATATGTGTTTTCTTTAAAAGGGATAGTCAAATTTGTAACTTTTAAAATTAAGAATAATGGCGGTAGAAGCTATACAAGTACTATAAGTATCTGTGACTTATATACATAATATAAACATAGTATACCGCTTTTGATTACTTATTATTTTGTATATTTTTGTATTTTTCATCTAGTCTAACTTATTTTATCTCAGTCCTATCCTATATTTTATAAACATGAAGATATTAATATTGTTATTATGTTTGTATATAAACACATTCCTCATCTAGTCTGACTTATTTTATCTCAGTCCTATCCTATATTTTATAAACATGAAGATATTAATATTGTTATTATGTTTGTAGATAAACACATTCCTCATCTAGTCTAACTTATTTTATCTCAGCCCTATCCTATATTTTATAAACATGAAGATATTAATATTGTTATTATGTTTGTAGATAAACACATTCCTCATCTAGTCTAACTTATTTTATCTCAGCTCTATCCTATATTTTATAAACATGAAGATATTAATATTGTTATTATGTTTGTATATAAACACATTCCTCATCTAGTCTAACTTATTTTATCTTAGTCCTACCCTATATTTTATAAACATGAAGATATTAATATTGTTATTATGTTTGTAGATAAACACATTCCTCATCTACTTATTTTATCTCAGTCCTATCCTATATTTTATAAACATGAAGATATTAATATTGTTATTATGTTTGTATATAAACACATTCCTCATCTAGTCTAACTTATTTTATCTCAGTCCTACCCTATATTTTATAAACATGAAGATATTAATATTGTTATTATGTTTGTATATAAACACATTCCTCATCTAGTCTAACTTATTTTATCTCAGTCCTATCCTATATTTTATAAACATGAAGATATTAATATTGTTATTATGTTTGTATATAAACACATTCCTCATCTAGTCTAACTTATTTTATCTTAGTCCTATCCTATATTTTATAAACATGAAGATATTAATATTGTTATTATGTTTGTAGATAAACACATTCCTCATCTAGTCTAACTTATTTTATCTCAGCCCTATCCTATATTTTATAAACATGAAGATATTAATATTGTTATTATGTTTGTAGATAAGTCGACAGTACAGTTTACAATGTTTTCTATACCAGTATCCTGTTTTTACCAATTTATTACAATATCAGTTTGAACCTTGTCATCAAGATCCGGTAAGACCTTCAACAAAGCCTATCTTTCTCTACCGTCCATATATACAATCACTCTATCTCCAAAAAAGCATTCATGGGCTACAGGCTGTGCTTGTTAAAGATCCCAGTTGGAAGGGAAGGGCGTCGCCCAACTTCATTAGCCCTATCAGGGGCCGAAAACTATGAATTAAAATGCTATTCATTTCATTTCTCCAATGAATGTTCAATCGTTTGAATGGAACAATAAAGCAAGACCCTATATGCTACAGATTGTGCATGTTAAACCTCCCTTGTTATTGGGAAATCAAACAAGATTATGTAAATACTGCTATCCTCACAAAATGTCCTAACTATTATATATTTTTTGTCATTATAGATAACTAAAGTTAGTGGAGATTACAATGCAGCGCCTGATCTTGAGAAAGAGGCTAAGAAATGGGCAGCTAGGGTTGCCAAGGAAACAAAATTAATTCGGGATTATACTAGATCTTTGAAAATCATCCAATCTGCTGGCTCTTCAGAGAGGGTGAGTTCAATTTTATTTTATGGCACAACTTTTATTTATTTCATTCAAAATACTAAAATAAAAAAATATATCATGATTTATCACCAGTCTTTTGTCAGATGAGTAGAATTTTCTGTTTTGGCTCAATTTATGTGTTGTAGGAAATCTTGAAAGGTTTTGAATCACTGAAGCTATGAATTTTACTACCATTATTCCTTTTATTCCTGAAATATCTCTTGTATCTTCAGATATCAGAATCAAATGATGGAGGAGGGACAACACCAACTCAAGATCCTGAACAAAAGTTAGAGGAGTTGAAACAGAACATCAGGAAGGCAGAGGTAAAGCTTTTATTCTTTCTAATATTTATTGATATAGGTATACAAATAATAGGTGTTTGTAGATACACTTGGTTTATTAACTCAATGTTTGAAATGCTCATGCAGACAGTGATATCAAGGACAGATCTATTAGAATGGTCAATTATTTTTCTGTATATTTTATGGGTTATTGTGATTGAATTATCAGACCAATATATGAATTTAGTATGATTAAATATTTTATATTACAGACCTCTAAAGCTAAAGCTGAAGCTAGATTAGAAGCCTTAAAAGATGCTGGATGTAAGTATTAATATTAAACATATCAACTATATACAATCATAGTACACAAATTATTATTTCATTTCGTAAATTGTGGCTTATTATCACTGTAGTTTGACGTAGGATGTTTGAAGTTAATTATAGAAACCTGCAGAAATCACACGTAACAAAACATCCAAATCAGCTTTTTAACCCTTTCAATCCTAGCGGCAAATCAACCGTTGCTAAGTGATGTCACACAATGTTAATGTCATACGCTTTATTATATATCAGTTGGCACTCAGGGTATATGACGTTATTTTTCATTTATACTCAGGGTTCAAAAGGTTTATCAGATCGTCAATGAAATATGATTATGGTTATTTGTATTTTGTTATTACAGTGAATATAGATGAATATCTAAACAATGCCCAGATGGACAGTCTTGGTACGGATGATTCAAATATGGCAAGGACACCTAGCCAGATGTCACTACGTACAGAAAGTTCAGGGGGGGTAGGTAACTCTTGTACATCTTATAACTAGTCTAAAACACCAAGTCTTAAAGTGGCAAGTTAACATACGTATTCAGATAAAGCTGATATTGTAGTTTAAGTAGATAGTTTGTAGTTGTGGTCGCTAGTAGTAGGTTCAATTGGAATTTTTAGTTTTGTGCTTTGTTAGATTTGGTTGTGTCGATTGACATTTTGGAGAAACTTGGCCCTTAGTAGTGTGACATAAATTACTTGATCTTCTTTATTCTTCCAAAACATGTTATAATAATTGTAATGTTTGTCTGTTAGGCTAATGTTATTTGTTGGTTTGTTTTGGCTACATTATCTGGAATTAATTGACAGTTTGATTTATTTCATATATTCTTTGTTTTTCCAGCACAGTGAAGAACCAACGTATACCCATTATGATGATGATGATGATTTTATAGATGATACGTTTAACACTTCAGCTGATAATGAGGCTGTATTTACTCACAGTTCTGGTACACAATACCCTTTAAAATGTCGCGCTCTGTATGCGTTTGATGTAAGTAAAATTGAAAATGTTGTTGCAACTGAATTTTAAATGGTTTAAACAATTTGGATATGATTATGTTTTGGTTATAACCATTTAAAGTATTTGAATCACTTGAAAATTTATGTAAATTTCTGTTCCAGGCTTCCAATTATGATGAATTAACTATACAAGCTGATGAAGAATTAGAGTTGGTTGCTAATGGTGACGGCGATGGTTGGGTCAAGGTCAGTTTGTGTTTTGTCTTGATTTGGACAATATTGTAATGACTGCCACATTTTCTTGGTAAATATTGAATATTTTGCAGTGAAATTAGATTTACCTCTTTTACTAATGTTATAAAGCAGTTGGTAAACACAATTATCAATTTATAACTGAACCCAATTATATGGATAACAATTACTTTATTAAAATATTCTTTCGTCTTTATCAAGCAAATGACAGAAGAACCTTTGTCGTAACGTCTCAAGTTATTTATTAAAGTAATTGTTATTCATAAAATTATGTCCAGTTATTTATTGTCTAATTACTAAATGCCACTTAAGGAAATTACCGATTTTTATTTGAGTTTAGAATATCATTTAGTATTAGCTTGAATTTTGAATTTATACAAGTGTACGTTGGCAATTCCTATGAGTTTAAATTCCCTATATATATATTGGGCTTCACATGAGAACTAGATAAGATTAGATCGCTGAACACTTAAATGTATGGATTCAAAACCACAAAATTTACTTATTTCAGGCACGAAATAAAGAGGGTAAAAGTGGATACATTCCTGAAAATTATGTAGATGTCAACAACACTGGGGTAAAAACTCCACCCACAGGTTCAGTGACATCAGAGACAGAGGTGCAGAGTGAACCTCCAACCCCTGTAGCAACCCAACCTCCTGATGTCCAGTCTCCAGTTACTGAGATTCAACATGAAACAACATCCAGTTATTCTTCTGGTGATTTAGAAGTACAGCAGACAACAGACGTGATGCCTGTTGATAATTTCCCACCCCCTCTTCCAGAATGTGAGTATATCTTGGATCATCTGTCAGAAATGTTATTATTTCGAACTCTAATCCATTTCATGTTTTTATAGATTAATCTTTTTTTTCCTCTAGAACTATTAAGATGTCTTTAAGATTTCTTTGTCATCCAATTTTTCATTTGAATCAGATCGAACTCATCAAGTCAATGCAGATCATTAGGATTTGTTAATTGGCTAGAATGTCAATCAGAAATCAATCCATACATAACATATTATGGTTAGATTGCCCACTTCTAAAGCACAAAAACTTTACTTACTTACTTAGAACCTAAAGCTAGCTGTCAGTCAAAATGTCATGTGATTGTGACATTCTTAACCATTAAGTAATCAACTGGATCAAAATGTGGATTAGGTTCTAAGTTTCTTCTTCTAAGCTCATGCAATTGATGATAAGTTTGATTTACCCTTACAGCAGTAGAAGAAGATATATGGGTAAGGGCCCTGTATGATTATGAGGGACAGACAGCAGAGGAACTCCAGTTCCAAGAGGGGGCACTGATTAAATTATTACGGAAAGATCATGGAGTAGATGATGGATTCTGGGAAGGGGAAATTAATGGTAAAGTTGGATTGTTTCCGTCTTTAGTTGTGGAAGAAATAAGTCAAGATGGCATCTCATTTGATGTAAGTAGATATAGTTAATGAGCAATCATGATAATCATTTGTAGAATATTGGATCATTATTGGGTATAGTACTGACAGAAAGAATTTGTTTTATCTTCTGAAGTGGCAAGCCCCTTTCTAAATCATAGCATGAATAAGGTGCAAACCTGTCACGTCTGATAGATGAAATGTTTGTATTAATGTGATATTTCTCAGTATGAAATTAGGGAAATTTGAGGGAAAATCTTGACTTATATCAATCTTAACACTATACGTACCTCCTTTTTGTTCTATATCAATTTATTAACCAGTCATTGTTGTTTATTTTTCAGGATCCCTTTTCTCCAGTATTGTCCAGTCCTCCTGATTTTGCCCCACCCCCACCAGTAATGGTGACCCTGCCTACACCTGAGGATCTTCCACCCCCTATAACAAATGGAAATGGTAAGTTATGATGTTGATTTGATTATTAGTTTGATAGAAAGTTTTCTGAAACGGCAAACAATCTTCAGAATTTTGAAAGTGTTAAAAATCATGACTTTTTTGTGAATTCCTTATATGATGAATCAGTAAATACACTCGTACATATATATCTTAATGGGTCAATCAGAAAGGCTAAAGGCTTAAAGTCTTAAATAAAACAAAGCTTGTGGCCTTTAAACAAATTTGATGCTATTTGCGTTCAGAATATTGAAACCGTGCATTTTTGATCATGTGGTGTTGTAGCTTTGCATGAAACCCTGTACAATGATCACTGTGTTTGTCTTTCTTTAGAAATGGCAGAAATAATATTTAAAAATTTGTGTAAGTGTTGTTAGCATAGACTTGTGCATAGTTAGTTACTGCAAATCTTTTGCATACACATAGCTGTAGACATAGAATATTAAAGTCATAGAAAATGATTCTAGGATCTGATGGAAGATTATTCATAACTTGATACTTGTAGCTTATAAACTTCCGGCAATATGATTGGTTAATGATTATCACTACAATGGCATCAACTAATCAATGTTTTTGAATTTCCTCATCTTTTTATCATCATGTTTCCAAAAGTTCATCTCTTTTTTAATTGGATTAATCTATATCTTTATATACGCATAAATTTAGACATTTTTCCTTTGAATTCTTTTTTAATGTGTTATATATGTTGTCTATTGTGATTTGTTGATTCAGTTTTCAGGTGTAATGTCCAGTTTTCTTCTCTTTCTCAAATTTCACCATTATATTTTGTCTAGACTGATTTCACTGAACTATCAAGATATTTTTAATGAAATTCCTGAATACTATCATTGACATTTGGAAAAAAACCAGTCATGTTAAAACTGATATATGTACTTTCAGTTTATAGAATAGATTATCCTAGCTATTCTTCCAGTAGTTGTTAACAGTAGGTCTTGACTTGTTTCTCACTAAGTTGTGTTTATTCTCCATTCGATATAGCCTTTATATCACCTAATTAATGATTTGAGATAATAACACATTGTGTGATTTTACTGTGTTGCCTGTTAATTTGACTTTATTACTGCACTGTTGTTTGTTATATTTTTTGCTGACTAACATAATGGAAATTCAGAGTGTTCATAAACAAGGCTTACTCCCTCAATAGATTTTAATAGAATAACAAATTCAACACACTATATAGATAAAGATTCACCATTTGACGGCTGGAAAGCTGGTACCCAAGCCCCCTCTTTAATATACCTGATTTAAAATAGTTTTCTTAATCTGAAAACAATTTAAAACACAAATAGTGTATTTTATTATTAGGATGTAGCAGAAGTTTCAATGAAAATGAAGGTACTACAGACATTTCTTGTTGAGTTTTATTAGGTCTGTCTAAAAGAGTATCCATACCTATTGACAGTTCTTAAAAGATTCTGTCCTAAAGCAATTGTTATTAACTACCTTTAACCCACTCAATGTTCTCTATTGCTGTTCTTGTCTGTTATTTTACTCCCAATATTTATTTTTAGATCAATTTTCAAGATTAATTTGTAGATTGGCTTCAATAATTTGATTTTATTTTCAATAGCTAGATATAGAAGATACTAGAGTAAGCCCATTATATAATTTCTTTTCTATTGTGAATGGGGTTGTCAACTTTGTTTTCTTCAAACTATACACCAGAATTTCTCACTCTTCTGTCCTTTTCTCCATCTTTCTCATACTCTTTTTTCTGATCTGCCATTTTACATATCCTTTTTGTTTGTAATTGCCACGTTTTCACTCTTTTGCCACCATATATTGTTCCTTGAATCTTCATTCTTTTACCATTTTTTTATATAGACAATGAATCCTTGTCCAAACCTTCCTTCAAATTTTGATTTATCTTTTTTGCTCTGAGGTTTCTCAACAACCTCAAGTATGATATCTGTAATTTACTCCTGTTTATATTACACTATTAGATAATAATAAAAATGATAATAATAATAACTTTATTTTGGCAACCCATTTTGACAAAAGTCTAATTTTCAATAGGTCCCACTAAACTATGAATTATGATGAATATTGACCACCTCCAATAATAGCAGTAGTAATAACTCTGGTAGTAGCTACTATCTAGGTAGGGTATGCTCACCTTCCAGAACAAGGGGACGCCTGTAACTGGGTTTATCACGATGTCTATTTGAGAAAGACCACGAAGCTAATAATGTTTTTTGGTATATCAATTGGGTATGAGCTAAAATTACCCTCTTTGTTACTTAACAGTCTCTGGCTATCATTAGTGGGTTTTAAACTGTCTGCTTAAAAACTGTTACAAACTTAGCCACTTTTTAAACTTTTTATTTACATATTATTATCAATCTACCCGATTCTACCCCATGATTCAACATAGGTATTACTTTGTTGTTTTTCACATTTAAAATATTTTATTTTCAGTTTTTATATCTTTTTAAATCTGATATTTATCTATTTTGATTTATATTTTTGTGAAGACGACCTGGTTTATTTTCAGTGTCTAGTCCACCTATTCTACGTACCCGAGTTTTACGATTAGGAACAGTTAATCCTGAATCTAGTGAATCAGCTGTTTAGTTCTAGGTAGAATATAGCTTGCATGTCAACCCTTTAATTACATCTACATGCATGAAAATATTTCTTTACTTTTAAAGTTCGATTTAATTTGCTAACTTTTGGTAAACTCTTGAGGGTAGGATAAGAATCAGCGGGGTTAGGAAATTTCTTTTAACCCAATTTTTGAGCATTTTTTTTTTCATGGACAGGTAACTACTCTATTAACATTGATTTAAGATCTTCAGTAATATAAACTAACTAATATTTTGATACTTTACCTTCAGATACTTCAATTCATAGTTACTAAATAATATCAAATCTTGCTAATGAACAGTTTACATTGCCTTCAATGAAAAATAAGAAAATCATAACTATAGGGATTGTAAAGAGATATTGTGATCTTAGTTTGAATATCTGATACACTCATAGCTTCCAGTTGCACCACTGAATGACTGTGGGTCTGGAAAAACTTGACAAAATATGATGCCATTAACGCTAAAACTCCTAGATATTTTTTATGGTGACATCGTACTCTTGTCATGAATTTTTGAATTACCAGAATCACAGAAGTAACAAGTTTAACTGATACTCACCTTTGGATTTTTTTTATTTGATTGAAGGCAATGTGAAATAAATCTAATAATATCGTACCCTTTGACCTTTTCAGTAGAACTATTTTCTACTCCTGTTTGACATAACATATCCTATGCTTTTTTTTTTTATCTCTACTTCTTTCTATAATAATGTGTCTTACTATATACTTATCAATCTTTAAACTAAGTTTCTATTTCTTATATGCCATTGGCTGCAAAAAAGCTTTTGCAAGTGACTCTATTTGCCATGCATAATGTTGTGACCTGATTTAAAGATGAATCACTTCAGTTTCATGGTGAATGGAGACACTTCCAGATAATACAAGACAAGAAACATTTAGAACTGCTTTTGAATCAGATTGGATGTTATTTGATCAGTCATATTCACCATGATTGGAACAATCGTTTCATCTTTTGATCAAAATATATCGTGTTAAAAGAATCAGTGAGAAAAATTCAAATGTAAAGTGATATCAAGTGTTCTGTACTATGCATTACTATATATGTATACAGACTTCATATCATATAGATATAATAAATCTATGCCATGTTGTTTAATAACAAATTTTAAGTTTTGCATGAATCTAATTACCAAACAGATATATAAATCTTATTTAGATACTAATATTAGCAATGTTTTCTTTTTTAAAACACAGTTTAAAGTAATATCAATGATTGCATGAACAAATAATCTATTAAATCAAGACTTTATAAGATCAGAATGGTTTTTTTGAGTTGTTTTACATGATACAATTATGCATCTTGTGAATGCTGTTTGAATGCTTAGATTAGATTTTTTTAAATTTGTGCATTTTGAGAAACAAGTTATGTTCAATATTTTAATTATTTATATTATTATAAAGTTTAATATTCTATATCTAAAGAGAAATTTCCCTCCCTGTCTATTACAGATTCTGGTGTTACAGAAGACACTATAATTCCAAATGAGCAGGTAGGTCAAATCATACTTTAGGAATTCTTAATTATAAAAATGAAAATTTTCCACCACTGGTAGTGCTTATCTACCTGGGACACCTCGAATTGTTTGATGCTTTTCTGCAAAATGCTGTCATGTGCCTGAGTAATTATTGATATTATAAGCCAGATAGTCTTAACCACTATTTCAAGTAAACAATCATACTCTGAAATAAATAATGAAATTATTATTCAGATATACTCAAATTACTATCAGAGATATCTGTGTAACCTTAAAGCATTTTTTAATATTTACAAATTTATTATTTAATATTTTTGTGCTGCTTAGAAAGATGAGTCAAGGTTTGTATACAGTTCTGCCAATATTTTTTTTTCTTTCTTGTTTTCCTGACTTTTTGACATGGAAATTATCCAATGATTAAATATTCAACCTCATAATATCATTGCATTTTGCCCAGGAGTCCATTTTGAATTTAATTGATTTCATTATAAAAA